TTAAATTCTCAACTTACGGCAAGTACTTATACTATATGAAGACATTTAATGCGATATATGGCTGCAAAATGATGCATTTTATGCATATGTGCTATAGGGTATGCAAAGGCTGCATAAATATTGATATGCATAAATATGTTGTACGAAATTTGCATGAATGCGGCATGAATACATGCACGGACAGCTCTATGGAGCATTATTAATATCTGGATATTCGAGAGCCGAAATGCCTTTGCATAATGATGATGGCCGATCATTAATTATGCCTCCTGCCCGCGAAGGAGTCCAGCTAGAGCCGTACGAAAACAATGGCAAGCGCCTAACTGGCCTGGCCGCGGCTGCATTAAATTTGATGTCTATAAATCAATTGGCGGTACGCAAACTGTCAAAGCAGAAAATCACAGCAACAACAAAAAAACTGACTTTCCATTTTGTTGTTGCGTCGGCGGCCTTTATTAGAAATCGTTCAGCATTTGACAATAAATCAGAGTCGAGACTTCAAAGCCAAGTCGAGCGCAAGCCGCAATTGGCAGAGCTCAAGTATTTCAGCTATGCGCCAATATCTTGTCAACTAGCCAGCCGCACGTCTGTATGTGTGTGTGCGTGTGTGTGCGTGTGTTGGCCAAGTGTTTGTTCATTAACGCCATTAAACCAGTTTTGACATTTTAATTAAGCTGGACAGCTGCTCCCGCGCTCTGTTGTCTGCGCTGCAGCGGGATAAGGTCAAGATCATAGATCATAGGCGAGGCGCTTATCGCAGCTAGCAACAGCAACTAGCCAGCAACAACAAGTCAAATGGCAGCAACAGCAACAGCTACAGCTACAGCAACAGCAACACAAAAAGGAGCAACAACATCGCTGGCTTATCAGGCATATCGGGCGACGGCATCTGCATCGCAGTTGGCGCATGTCCTGGCCTCAGCTGCCGTCGGGACAAGGCACAAAAATTTGCATTTACCAGACTGTCGCCCACTTAATTACGCAGCAACAGCAACGCAGTTGGCGTCGCTGCAACATGTTGCACATTACACTAACAAGCATGCCACAAGCAACACAAGCAGCAGCAGCAGCGTCGTCAACCAACAAACGAAACGCATTTGGTATGAGTGAGTTAAGGAGTTGTTTGAAGATGGAAAATATTAAATATGATTACAAATTAGAAAGACTAAAGTTCTTTGATTTCTTTTACTATAAAATGTCATTGAAATTGAAAATATATTTGAAGTTGAGTCTATATATCCTAGAGTTAAACAATTTAATTGTTTTTTTGAAGAAAATCTTGTTGCTTCTTATGTGCATGCATATATTCATTATTTATTTTGCTTAATTTTTATAGAAAATGTCTTCTTTTTGTTCAATTTATGTTGTTTTTGTGGAATCTGTCTTAACAGAAAAAATAAATAGTAAATTGCCTAGCCACAAATGCAATTAAGCAAATTTCTTGAACTGCAGTAAACTAAATCTATATTTCTGTAAACTCTATTATCCATCTACAACCTATATATTTTCTTAGCAGGTCAAGGAGCATGCAGTGTAATCTTTTTATATTATTTATTAAATAATTTTGCTTTATTAATTTAAAAAAGTTTTTAAATTTTTTAAAATTTGTATTTATTAATTTTATTTAATTATAAATATTTGTATTGAAATTGTAGTAATAATAAAAGTACACAACAGTAAATACAATAGCTCTGCTACAAAAAAAAAAAAAAAAAAAAAAAAAAAAAAAAAAAAAAAAAAAAAAAAAA